CAGCAGAGGCGGCCACGGCAGCCGAGGCCGGAACGGGCGCGCTAGCCATGCTGGGAGAGGGAGCTCTCGCGGCAGCGGGGACGGTGGGCGCAGCGGCGGGAGCTTGGCCGTGGCGGGCGCCGGGGCCGCGCTTTTGGGCACGGCCTGGGCCTTCGAGGGCGGCTTGAACGCGGCCTCGCAGATGATGGGCTGGGGCGCAGCCACGGGCGGCAGTACAGACTCTGACGCCTCTCGCCCGAGCATGACCACGGATGTTCAAACTTTGAATGGGATGGAGGAATGAGGCGCCGTGGACCAATTTCGAGTGCAGGAGCTGCGACGCCCGCAACGCCCGGAGGTCTTCCGCATCGACAGCTCAGGCAGTGAGGCGCCGCAACAAATCGTAGCCCGCCCCGCGCGGCGCCCAAGGGATCGGTCCCGCATCAGCCGCCAGTCCCGCGACCGCGGACCCCTCGGTGCTCAGCCGTCGTTCGACCAACTTAGGAACGAACCGGAACCTGCGTAGTAGGTAGGAGCTCGCCAAAAGCCTCGACTACAAGCTTGGTAGCAGCAATGTTTCCTACATAAACAGCCGCCGTGATATTCAGTATGTTCTTTCAAGTTTGTCGACATTCACCCCCACCACCTCCAGAGTCGCTAGAATAGCGTTAAGCAGTGGGATGGATTTTATCGATGCAGAAAGCGTGAAAATAGCCTTTCGGGTGCGCAACTGCTCGACGACCCTCGCCCTGAACCCCTCCACCCAGGAGCCGAGCTGCTTCATCAAGCGGGTCCAGCTCTGTTCCAACGAACAGCGCTGCGACGACATCTCCGAGTAAGGGCGCAGCTGCTTCCTGTACTCGCTTTTGAAGCCCGCCGAGTGGTTTCAGAACAAGGGCATCAGGGGCTTGTGGGAGATCTCGTCGGGGACGCCGGCGCCCGTGCCCGCGGGGAGCTTCAAGGACGTCCTCATGGCCCCGACGTTGATCGGCCTCTGCCAAGGCGGCAAATATCTCCCCCCTCAGCTCCAGCTCGTCCTTGAGCTAGAGTTCGCTGAAGCCCTGACGCCTTGCGCCTCGGCGAGGGTTCCACCGATTGCAGCATCGAAAACGTACGAGTTTTGGCCAGCCAGGTCACCCTCGACTCAGCCTTGCACGAAGTACCAAAAAATACTCTCGGGCCGCAGTTTGGCATACGCGTACCCCACCATGCACACGCATGTCTCCAGCATCCCGGCCGGAAGCACTTCTTTCAATGTAACGGTGGCACGAGCGTACACGAAACTTCTCGGGGCTTTCTGCTCCTTCCGCGACCTCGCCAGCCCGCTGGGCGAGTGCGCGAACTTCGAGCACCCCGGCGACGGGGACCAGTTCTCGGCGAACTCGCTCGAGTCGCAGATGCAGCTGGGCGCGCTTCAGTACCCTCGCTATCCGATGGCCAGCGATCTCCACTTCCTCGAGATCCTCGCTGGCACCTACGACTCGAGTTTCAGAAACGGGAGAATTGCCGAAAACCATTGGCACAACAATCAGTTTATGTGCGCATTTCTGGTGGAAAGGGCTCCGATACACCGTCTGAGCGGCATCTCAACTCGCTCCGGCGATCTGGCGAGGTTCGCATTCAAGAACATGCAGCCGGACCGGGTCCAGCGAATATACTTCCATTTGCTCAGTTATCAGATTGTAATGAAATTCGGTGTCCTCGACTGATGGGTTTGCACACTTTTGGCCCTCTTCGAGAACCTTGGAAAAACATGTCAGTGTCCGGGTCTGACGTTCTGAATGTTACTTGCACACTGTTTTGCCGTCGACCACCTTGGACACGCCGTACGCCTGGACCAGCGCTTGCGTGACATAAGTAAAAATGTTCTTGTTCGAATCCTCCATCACTGGCAACATCTTAAACAACGGGCAGGCCTCGGAGACCACCGGCATCACCGCCGGGCAGCTCGCCACGGTGCTCACGGCCTACACGCCCCCGCTGGACACGGCCGCCGTCAGCAGCGACGTTGCGGCCAACGCCGCTGACATCGGCACCAACAGCGCGGCCGTCGCGGCGCTGCACGTCCAGGTCGCAGCCATTCCCCCGCCGCCGGACTTGACTCCTTATGCTGTGGCCGCGGACTTGGCAGTCATAGAGGGCTCCATCGTGGCCAACGTTTCCGGGCTTGTGGCCGCGAGCACGAGCCTGACCCTGGGGCTGGCCAGCAAAGCCAACCAATCGGCCCTGGACGCACTCCAGGTGGAGGTCGACGGCAAGAGCACGCCCGCTTCGGTGGACCTGAAGCTAGCCAACCATCCCACGACAGCAGCGATGCAAGCACCAGCGACCTCACGGCCGCGGTGGCCCTGCACGCCACCGCTCCCGAAGTGAGCCAGATTGCCACTGCCCTGCTCCCCTTCGTCCAGCGGACCGCCGTGGATGCGGCTTTGGCCCTGGACGGCCACGACGCCGACATCATGGCCCTGCAGAGCCAGTAGGCACCAAGACGATCCGTAAGTTGCACATCGGCCAATCATCCCTTTCACCCCCAGCGCCCTGAATCCGCAAGCCAAGACCTCAAAGAGTTTAGAACTTAAGGCTCGAGAGACCTTGCAGTTGATCAGTGCCCGGCCGCGCTAGCGGCTCGAAGCCGCGAGCTTGAGAGGGAGAACGTCTTCTTGAGAAGCCAGCTTATTGGTTTTGCAAAAGATTGCTGTAGTTCTGCGCTTGTCAGTAGCATGCCAGTCAGGTTTGTTCATGTGTTTTCGGTGTTTAGCAGGCTTCGAGTGCACGGGCACACTGGAGATACTTACATGCTATCCACGGCGCAGTGTGCAACTGGCTTACACGGGCGACTGCGGTGCCTCATTGCTTTAGCGCCGGCACAGCAAAAAGGCATCGCATCGTTTTGCGTTGCCCCTGAACTGACACCGCAAAAGGCTTAGAAAGCTCGGTCCCTGCATTGATCCTGAAGTCAACCCTGCCGTTCCAGGTTGCAGCCAGCCTGTTGTTGCGACATCACACGATTTCTATGTTTGACGTCGGCTCAGCAGCAGCTCGGTAGCCCCAACAGTTGCAGTGTTCTCCCCTGAGTGACGTCGACCATGCGGGCCATGATGATGCAACTTCTTGCCGCTGCACTTGGGTTCTGCCTCGTATGTCTTCAAGGATGCAATAGCGATAGCGGATCGTCATTGTACACCCAAGAGGAAAAGGACAGCCTGTCCTTCTGCGACAGCGTCGCTGACAGTACCTGCAAGGAGTACTGTTTGGGGTGCGGTGCTTGGACACGGGAGCAAGAGAAGAATGGCAGAGAGATGTCGGACGATGAGTGGGCAGACTGTACTCGAGGCACCAAGAACTGCGGCACCTGGAGCGACTCCTGATGGATTCGGAAGGTTACCCGAGAAGTTTCTGCGTGCTGCTGCCAACTTCGCCGCTCAACCCTTGCGAGCGTTAGCGGGGCCTGGGGCTTGGGCCCTTGAAGACCTGAAGCTGTGGACTGCGAACAGAGTCTTGAGACCGGAAATGCTTACGTGCAACTGAAGGAAAAGTCCGGAGTAGCAGTGAGAAGCAGCTGATGGCGGGGAGGGAGTGCATAAATTCAAGATTCAAATCTACCTTGCAAGCAGAAGGGTCGACATGCAGCTTCGGGGGACACGGTTGCTTTTGGCGTTCGGAATTGTGTGAAGTGGCTTTTTTCTTCTGGCACGCACACTTCATCATACTACGGCATTCCCACGCTTTGTCATGATTGTAGTTCGCAATGCTCTGTCAAGAGCATTTGCTGGCCCCTCACGGTGCTCATCCTCCGTTACCTGTTGACTTTGCATTCGTCAGTTCAATCTGCCCGTCGGGCGGGAGCACCACCAGGACGGCTGCCTGCGCTGGTGTATGTGCTGGTGTGGAACATGCAAATGCCGCCAGGCGCAAACGCCGAAAACCTTACCAGGAGCTCAGCACTGCCGTCTGGTATTTTGGCATGGGGCCAATTTTGTCAAAAAGGTGCGGACAAAACTTCGTTCGCTTGCTTGCGCGATCTTCCGCGTGCGTGCTGCGAGCGTGCATGCCATCATTTGGCCCGGCGCCCAAGCCGCCTGGGTCCTGCGTTGGAGCGGCATCATGGCAGTCGTTGTCCTGTGCCCCCCCGTGCTGCACCTCCTTCTCACCAACGTGGTGGAGGTGCGGAACCCGTTGTGCACGAGTGTTTTAATGACGTGCGCTGTGCACGAAGGGCCGGAGCACAGTCGCATGCCGAGCCGTGTTGTGTAAACAGCTCCGTAAGCCGTCTGTGCACCGGGACCGTGCGTTTTAGAACGGTTTCAAAACGATGCCGTGAAGGAAAAAATCATCGCCACTCCTTGCGAAGTTTTCTGACGGCCCGTGAGGCTCGCAATCTTGAAAGCCTTCCGCAGCGGCATGGGTGACCCCACAACGTGGACGATTTCGATGCCAACAAGCACCAAAAAGGTCATGCGGCGAGGACTTAACCGAGAACAAGTGTATTTCCTGTGGGTGCGTCAGTTCCGGGCCGCCTGCCGCGTGGCTGCGTGCCCGATTGCAATTTGTCTGACGTGGCGGACTGCATATGGCCGCACGCCACTCGCCAGCTCTGCAGCTGTGAGGCTTTGATCTGACGGGCCAATCGCAGCTCTGCAAGCTCCGACGCTTTTGCAAGTTTTATTCCTGCGATTTTCAATTGCATGTGACGTGATTTGTTGTCTTTGGTAGCCTTGAGAAATTCCACGAGATGCTCGAAGGTCTATGCTTGTACACGAGATTGTTCGGTGTCAGGCATGTGGCTCAACATAACTGGGTGATCTGGGTGCCTGACCATATTTCCGGCTGGATTTTCGGGCTGAAGGTTCGCCTTGTGGATTTTGTCTGCCCGTGCGAATTTCAACTAGCAAATGCTCAGCTGGGGAAGCCTGTGGGTCTGAGGCCCATTATCGTCGAAGCGGCCTGAGCGCACCCAATTGTATTGTGCATGGAGGGTTTGTTGTGCAAGCTGTCCAAATGCGGTTCCAGGCCCATGTGGTATGCCAACAAGCCGATTTCCGACATCGTCTGATCCACCCAAGCACCTGGTTAAGACACTTGGTTCTTTTCATGTTTTCGCGATTTGTGAGCGGCTTTGCTTTTCATCTTTATGACCTCGATGTTTGCGACTTGGCCAGGCTTTCAGCGAGTGCGTGGTGCATGTTGCGCCCGTGTCAGGACGAAGCTATGCAAACATTTTACGAAAGGGTACTGTCGGTACGAGGACTTGGGGACACATGCGTCATGAAGAGAATGAGTGTGAGCTATCGTGATTTTGATGCATTCGTCCAGGGAAATTGCACCTTCGCTCATCAGTTGGACGAGCTCGTGTACCGGCCCGATCTTACGAAACTGGTCTTCCAAAGCACATTGGCTGAGTTTCCTTGTGGACTACCCGTGGACATGGTTCGCATGTTCCGTAAGGAAAACAAAGTGGACCGGTACTCAGCGTGCAAGTTTCAGTCGCGGATACGTGGTTGATGAAACGTGCCTGTTGCGCCATGTGGAGGTGCGCCCGGTTTTTGTCCGGCACTTGTCATGCCAACAATTGCAGCTTCGCCCACAGTGTCGCCGAACTCCGGCATGTGGATCCTGCCCGTACTGCGACGAAAGAGCAGGAGAGGTTCCTAGCCGCGCGATGCACTCGACAGCGATTGAAAGCAACAGCAATGTCGAGCGTACCGGTGCAATCGCTCGTAGTACCGACCACTGACAGCGCTAGAAATGCGCTAGAAGGAAGTCGTAACGGGCTTCCCGCACATAGTGCAAGGAGGAGCAGAGCTCGGCGGCATCTGGATCTTATGCCTCTGTGGGGCTTGGGAGCTTAGGTTGCATTGCTGCCATGTCACCTCGCAGTTTGTACGACTGCCCAGCATTCCGTTCATCATTGCAGCTCCAGTGGTTCCCAGGCTGCGGCAAGCTTTGGCCGTAGAGATGTCTCCACTCCCGGCCGCCTGGTTGCGAATCAAGCTAAGCAATAGGAAGCTCGGCTTGTGTGCTTGCCAGCACCAGCGAAGCTGCCGGTTGACTTGGCTGCAAAGGTGGCAACAATGCCGACACCTCCCCAGCATTGGTTTAACAGGCCACTCGTGACTTTTGTGTCTGGCTTGTCTGCTCTGTGAAACTTTGAAAATGAAAGGCCAGAAGAAGCGACGACGGTTCGAAGCTTAGTGGTTGCAATGCTTGCAGGTTTGAATGCCAGGTTCGTTTCCGTGTTTCCTCCGGCTGATCTGACGCCACAGCCTCCGAAGTGAAGGGGTGTGCCGTCTTCATGTGAACGACACGTATGACCGCTTGTGGCATGTGGAGTTTCACATCTTACATCCCATTCGCGATGTGAACGTGTCGTAGCACAACCCTAGACATCCGCGACTGGGTGAATTTGTCCAGGACTTCAGTGAAAACGGCTTTGCAGTTCAGGAGGCGTCGCCGGTCCTCCAAGATTATGGTGAAGATGCTGGCGGCGACGGTTTGAACGTCCGTCCCAGGTGGGTTGGCTGGAGTGTACAAAAGTATCTTGTTCAGAATGCAGTGGCATGCAGTGGTGGTGGCACGTACTGCAAAATTGCTTGAGCATGCTCAGGTGCAGGTGGACGTCAGTGTGCATCCGCCTGTTACTGTGGAAACGACGTCGACTGTTACGACATGGCCGTATCCTTCTTTCCAGATCCGGGCAGGAGGTGTTGTGCAACGCAGAAGTGGATTCTTGGAGCACTTTGTGAAGAATTCGGGGTCAAAACGGCTGGCCCAAGGAAACCTCTTTCTCCAGGTCTCCTGACGCAGGGAAGAACTGCAGAAAGTCGTGTAGGTGTCCAGCGCTGGTCCGGTCCAGGAAATCCGCAGCGTAGATTGTCGCATTGGAGCAGGGTAGGTTCAGCCAACAGATAGCTCGCTGCTCAGCCGTGAAGGCCCTCGTTAAGGGTTGAGGTTACGGACGATGCGGGTCGGTAGCATGCCATTGCAAAGTTATTGAAGCCTACCTCAATCTTTGCTGATGTTTCTTCATGCGAGACTCGAGACAATGCGAGACAGAAGTTCTGACGTGTTGTCAGCTGAGTAGTAAAAGGTTCGGACATGTTCGGACGAGGCCAGGCGTCGTGCACTCATATGCACAGCCCCCTCATAAGCAAGTCCGTGTGCAAACAGACATGCCTTCATCCAACTTTAGCTTCGAAGGCAGTAGGCTTCTCGCAGGCATTCAGGAGCCATAAATGGGTCTTGGCTACCTCAACTTTCTTTTGCTTGATACCCTCCAATTCATGCGGGTGATCGTGGTCTGCATGAGCCTAAGTCGCAAGCATGGCAGAAGCCTTGGCTGCCCACTGAGCAGAGGTTTCCAGGAAAACTCGTTGGGTCTTGAGGTGTGGGGTGCGCGCACAGGCGTCAGGCACCGAGCCGGATGCTGGCTCTCCTGGCTCGCAGTCGTCGGACCACTGGTGTATCCCACAAGACCCGATTTGCCAGGGCTCGGCCGGTGCCTCCACACGTCTGACCCCCCGCTTCCAGACCTTCTACCCTTCCGAAACACGGTGCTGCCCGCACTGCTTGCGCCGGCCGTGTGCGCGCCGTCGCGATTGCTGGAATTGCGCCCTCTGTGCAGTGGGTGTGCGTCTGTGTATGTGCGTCTGTGTATCGGTGTGCCAATGTGTGTGTGTGTGTGTGTTTGTGGTTTGTTCGTGAATTGGGATGTTTCTGGGAAAATGAAGCTTATCGTGGACTGAAGCTTATCGTAGACTCTTTGATGCATGCTGTAGGGTCGAAGTTGGTGGAAAAGGTCACATACATATTCGGTTAAGAGCAACTTCTCCGAGGATGAGGTGTCATCCATGCTTCTGGAAGACTTTACTTGGCTTCCGGAGTTCCCGGCTTTTGCGCACCGGTGCAGCAGGCCTGCCTGTTTTGCAGTTGCAACGACATGCTGCGAGTTCCCTGTGAGGTTGTTAGTGGAGCGCATGGAAATACCAGTGGAGGAGCAGGGGGCGGGCACAACCCAACCCAGTGAATGTCTTAAGTGAGTTTCAGGCTCCCTTTTTCTGAACAATGCCAGAAGTCTGGTGATGTGCGTAGTGTTGCTGCACTACGGCATACCAGCAGTGTGAGTCTGTGCATGTACTTACTGGTAAGAACACGCACCAGAGAGTGGTGGCATGCTGAGCGATGCCCACAGTGGATCTCATGGATGCTCGTGATGCTACAGCAAGTTCTTGGCACGCGCCGTGCAATCGGTCTGCTTTGCGGGTCCCAGCCCGGGCATTAAAACCGGTTGGGGAAATTCAGAGCTGCGATTTTTAAGCTGTGCCGGCACCAGGCCATTCTTGGGAACCAGCCACTTCGGCTGGTTCGTAGGATGGTCACCTGCAGTTGATTGAGGCAAGCTCTTCCCCAGAAAAATGTTCGGAAGTCTTCATGTGACCACCGGTGACCGTCTCTACTTCCCGGAGTGCGTCTGGTGTGAGCAGGCACATACGTCGGGTGAACCACGACATGTTTTTGGTCTATCCTCCTGAATTCACGAATACTCAATCTTCTTTTCGGAGCACGGTCTCCCGACAAGTCGTTTGTTGAACATAGGATTCTCCACGAATCATGTTAACGAGACCAAGAAGGGTCTTGAATTCGGTGCAACAGCTGCTTGTGATTAGGCAACGGGCTCTGTCGACCTGCATTTCTGGAGTCAGGCATTCATGGATGACCATAAACAGATTTTTTGCGGCGGTGTTTCGGAGCTGGACAGACTTCCCGTTACTTCTCGGACATATCTCTCCTCGGGAGAAAAGTCCGGCACCCATGAGAGCAGACAGTACCCTTCGGTGAAGAAGGCAGACTTGCAGCCTGCCGCGCCATGCCGTAGCCGTAGCCCTATGCCCATGACGGACACAATTTGAGTTGCTATTCGGGTTGTAACGGCCAGCCATGATGATGGAGCCGGTGACCCGGCTTCCGTCCAGTACTGCTGCCCCATATCCGGCTGGCACTGTGCGGATTATATCTAGCTCCTATGCGACGCCAGGCATGCACGCATATCAGCCGAGAGCGGTGCCGTTCCCATCCATGCCGGCTGGTTCCATCTACGCACAAGGACTCCCTCCGGCCCAGGGCTGCTGCGTGGCTGCAGGTCAGGCAACCGCCGCCAGGCAGTTGCCGCCCGAGCTTGTCTCGAGCCCCCCATTGCCCCCCGTTCAGTCGGCACACTACACAATGCAATGTGGGGCTCCTTCTCAATGGCAATCCTCTTCTCATGCAGTGTCGCCTTTGAGTATGGCTTCGCCGGTTGCAGCAACACCAGCAGTTCCATCGCAAGGCAGCCCGTTGTCCTTGTCCGCCCCCTGCAGCCGGTCTCCGGCGGCTCCGGCGGCTCCGGCCCTGGTGGCGGAACCGGAGGTGGCAGCGGAGCCGTCGGAGCCAGCAGCATCTCGCGATGATGTACATGCCTCTGGTGAGGCTTTGACCAACTTTCACATGCCGCAGACATCGCAGCAGCCAAAGAAGAAGGGCAAAGCTCAAAAAGACAAGAAGCGTTGCGCATGTTGCAACTAGGCAATCATCTCTGCTATTGGGCTTGGGGGCCCCTCTTCCTGCGGCAATGTCTGCTTGGAAATGCTTTGAACCTCAGCTTGGATGCAAAAGAAGGCAGCGCGCAGGGTTTTGCGGTTTGCATCAAATTGAGGTTTCCGAGCTGGCATGTGTCGTTTGATTGAATGATGCCCGCGGTCGCGTTGTGCAGTCAGGATTAACAGGGACAGGCGGGTAGATTTTAGAAGTTGCTGGCTGGGAGCTCTTGCTTGGTCATGGCGTTGCCAACAACACAGGTTGGTGCACAAACCGTTGCGGCTCTCCCGACGCAGGTTGCGGGATCGGTGGCGCCCGGTGTGCAGACAGTTCCAGCAGGCATCCAATACGGCACATCGGCCCCGATCGTGTATCAAACTGCCAGCATGCCCACCACCAGCATGGCGACCACGTATACCGGTGGTGTTCCGCTGGCCTCGCTCCCAACATCGACTTGGATCCAGCCGGCACTGCCAACGAGTACCCAGATGCCTCCAGCTGCTTCCATGCCCATGCCGACGAGACTTCCAGCAACGCAATATGTATACCCTGCCGGCTCATACCCTGTCACGTCGGCACCCGCATACAGCATGCCCACAAGCATGCCGACAACCATTGTGGCTAATCCAATGGGCAGCACAGGTCCTGTGCCACAGCAACCGTTGGCCGTTGATCCCAGTGCCGTTCAGTCAGGTGTGGAATCGAACGCAAGTGCGCCGCAGCTGGTCCAATCGGCTCCAACTCCGACTAACACGCCCGTAATGCAGTCAGTCGGTACGGGCAGCCCCTTCATGCAGTCTTTGGGTGCGGCCAGCACACCTGTGATGCAATCCCAGTCCCCGATGGCGCAGTCTTTCGTAGTCGTGGGTACTCCACAGGCCCAGGCCCCAATGCTCACTTCATTGCCAGCAGGTTCACCGCTTGCTTCGGGCTCCGCCTTTGGTGTTCCTTCGGCACTTCCTGCCACCAATGCCTCGATTCCATTGATGGATCCTTTGGCAGGTGCAACTCAGCAAGAGTCTGAGGTCAAGACACAATCCAAGGATCTCAGGAAGCCAGGTAAGAAACCGAAGAAGGGTAAGAACAAGTTTGGCTGCTGCGGCTGCTGAGCGGCATCAGCGTCTCACAACGCATCTGTCGTTCATAGTGTCATAGAAAGCTGCTAGAGGTTAGGAATGTGTCGGACCGACAGCATGAGCCGCAAGGGCACTTCAAAGTTCTGACACTGGTACAGTAGAAAGAAACCAATGCCCATGCAGGCATGCAAGGACAAAGCGCAGGTTGTCTGCTTCGCGGAATTTCGTCCGTGCTTGTGGTCCAAACCTGCCAGCAGCTCGCAAAGCTGTATGAAATGGGCGTGCTTGGGGAGGTGGGTGTGGTTCTGGTTGCTTGGATTGCAGGACTGACCTCACAACTAAACTGTCATTCACAGTAAAACCTTTCCCGGTACTTGTCGCCGTGGCTCAAGTTGAAGGTCCGGAAGCGTCTGAGGCGAATTGAGGCTCCATGTGCACGAGACTTTGACCATAATGTGGGGCCGAGATTCTCGAAGATCGCACGTAATCGGGGGGTGTTTGCGAGGCTTAAGATTCTTGACCTTTTCGTTTCTGGGAGGCATGGAGGAGAGTCTGGGCCTGGTCTGGGGCTGAAAGATCGATGCAGCGCCAAATGGGATCCCAGTCATCTGAGAGTGTTGGGACAGGTCTTAGCTGCTGCATCCCCCCTTCGAGATCGGAGCAATGAGGCTCGGGTATCTGACGGCCATGCCACAAGGAGCTACGCGTAGCAAAACGATGCAGACATTGCCAGGTGGAAACCTTCAAGACGCCGGGAAAGCGTCGAAGTCGTGGCGGAGAGGAGTGTCATTTCTTTGCATACGGCCTTCCATGATCACTGGGACGGGACAGGAGAGGCGCCGCTTGAGCCGGGACTTTGAAGAGCTGGAGGACGGTCGCAGGCGCCGAAACCCGGCTTCATGCCTCGCGTCCGATCTCTGAGCAGCACCATAACCGCGTTGCTTTCGGAACAGTATCTGTCATTTGGTTTGCGGGCCATGCCATGCCATGCCCATATTTCCTTGGTGGGCTGCCAGGCATCTCCCCTTATTTCACTGCTCATCAGCAAACCGATATCCATCATATCAATAACTTTTGCGAGGCTCAAATGCAGGGCCTCCACCTGTCGTCTTTATGTTTTCTTTGTGACATATCATACGCTTTGTTTCGTTTTGCTGGGCACAGATTTCCGGGAAAGCCTTTGAATCAGACTCAACTTCCTTCCGTGCGGCCGCATGCCGTTGCAAGGAACTCTTGTGTTATTGCTTTAAGACGAATTTGAAGATCAGCGCTCGTTACCTGGATTTCTGAATGACGGGCCGTGGGAATCGAAACTCAGCAGGGGTCCTGGGACCCCACAGCAAGGTGCAACTGCTGAACTCGTGCCAAACCTGCGATATCCAAGTGGGAGTACTTGTGTATAAGCAATGACTTGTGGCTGGACATTCTGGTTGAAGGCACTAGCACCCCTGCTGCATTACCCCAAAGCCTTGATTCAACGCTGGTGGTTGTTGCTGGCCAACCTCTAGAGGCATGTGCAGGCAGAAAGGAAGCCTGGGCCGATACCTTCTTTGCTTTTGGTTTTTGACTGCTGTTCCATTTTTCCGTGACGGTCTCGGCATCCAGCGTAAACTTCCACCGTTGTCTCAAGGCCCGCTCTGGAGTCAGAGATGATGAGTTTTGTCGAGACCTCGTCATACGGCAAATCAGCACGACAAGTGTCTGCGGCACATTGCTTGCATGTAACTGCGGCGTTTGGCAAGGATGAGATGCGTAAACAGCCATGGTCTCGGCTCCTCTTTAGACCTCTGCTGAGACAAAGAGTGTGTGCTTGCCTTGCGACGGCCAGAGCGCCAGAGCAGGCTGCAGCGCAACGACGCGGGGTGGGGGAGCGGGGAGGAGAGGTGTCACAGTGATTCCCAGGTTGAGCATGTGGCAGACGCACCTGTGTGAGCTGGCTGCCGAGCAGAAGGAAGCGGAGAAGCTCAGACAGGAGTTCTTGCTTGAAAACTGATCTGTCAACGGAAGGCTCGCTAGACGGTAGCCGTTTGCACTTGAGCAGGACACCTCCAGCCTGCGCAGCAAGCTCTCAAGCTGTGAGGCCTGGCACCTGTGATATAGTCATCCATGCATTGTCGTGCTTCTCGGTAAAAGCTCCACTTCGCACAGCACCAGAGTAAGATTTCGAGCCGTCCTGATCGTCCGAGTCGAAGCATCGAACACCACCTTGACCATGTGGGAAGCACCTTCTGACACATCCGGAGGTAGTTAAACGACTTATCATCTGGAACAATGGTCCATTACGCAAGGCGGAAGCAAGTGACAGGGCAAGAAGGCGGGCTGCGTGCAGACGCGTCAACTTTGCTTGGTGAATCTATGCAAGAGAGTAGCCCAAAGCGCTTCATCCCTTTCGCGATGCCAAGTTCTTGGGGCATCTAGGATCAGGCTCTTATAGAAAACGCATCGGCGCACTTGCTGGCTCGCCGTGCGCAGCCTTCAGCGGCTCAAGGGGGGCTGCTGTTGACGTGTGCCATGTGAGCGCGGGCCATTCGTCAGCAAGGCCGTTTGCGTTCGGGGCATTTGTTGCTTCTTTGTTGTTCCTTTTTTCTTCAGCAGAGCAGGCTCCCTTGAGTGCAGCCTGTACTTGCCGATCAGTCGGATCCTGGGCCAAATCTTTTGCTCAGAGCCTCAAAAGGCAGGTCAGTCTCTGCAACTCAGGAAGCAGGCGATCTGCTCAGCAGGCGCTGGAAACATTCAGGATGTGCTTACACATGCCTTCGACCCTCTCTGCCTCAGGAGATCTGAGCTGGGCTAGCGGCTAGCCTGTCTCTGAATCAATGAAGCTGTTTGCTGCCTTCTCCTCAGACTCTGCAATCCTCGGCACCTGCTGCACAGCCAGAGAGCCAGAGTCGAGTCTCCAGTCGGCCGTGGGCATGGCGCAGGTGTTGATATTCCTTCGCACAGCAAGCATCCATGCGGTCCGGTCGCATTCATGTTGTGGTGCTTTGACATGTTCACTTTGCAAGTTGATGAAGAGAGGCAGTGTTCTGCGCACAAGGCAGTAAAGACTTCATACAGCCGATCGTGGCTTGGCGTAGCCGCTGCCAGTCGTCTGCCAATTCTCTGTGGGACTCCGTCTTCCCGCGCTTGTGAATCGAAAGCCTCTTTTAGGCGTCTTCTGATCTGAGGTGGGGTGCTGCATGGCCGAAAGATCCTTTCGCATCTGACAGGGGTTTTGAAAATAGATGTGTCGTGCATATTGCGAGGGCCCTCTGACCGTCGTCCGACGACGCAGCTGCAGATAACTGCAGCCTTGTCCTGGGCTTGCAAGACGCAGAGATGTTTCTTGCTTACTGGAACCCTGAAGGACAACCTGGTCTCCAAGACCATGTTCGATGAAGGCCGATTGACTGGCAGGGCCGATGCGGAGACGTATGACAGGCGAGGCCATGTCCCTCAAACGCTTCGGAAGCCGGTGGCAAGGCTTCATTTCATGATAGATCAGAGTTATAGTTTGACTGAACAGGGCATTCGATGAGTGGGACACGGACTCCGACGATACCCTCTCTGAAGAGGAGCTGGTCCAGGCAGATCTGAATCCTAGTCCTAGCGGCCTAGATGTTTCATGCTTTGCTTTTGTGAGGGACTAAAGTCTGGCCGCGGTGGCCTTTCTGGCCCTCTTGGAATTCTTGCAGCTTCGGATCCTTCTCGGCAGTTCCACCTCCTTGATGCAGATGGGGCACCGTGCCGGCATCCAGGGCAGCCAGCAGTCTGTAATGAGACAGGGCACTGGACCCCTGCCTCCAACCCAGGATGGCGTCATCTCGCGCACCGAATTCGGTAACAGTGCTGTGCAGGCCACAGCAGAACACCTGACCTGCGAATTGCGGAACTGAGCCAAGCTGTCCGGCAGGCGGTGCAGGCGATGGCTGAGCCGCCGGCATCATCTATCCATTCCTGTATTGCGCCGGAGATAAAGGCAAGCTGACTGACAAAATGGTCATGGTGTTAGCTCAGCGACGAGGCGCGCCTGCATGTCAGGACGGAGATGGTTACCTCATCACAGAGATTTCTTTGGACATGGCAAGCTTCAATGTCTTGGCATCTTGTGGCCCCGGACATTTGGGGCGTGCCTCTGCTACTCCATGCTCGCGCTTCTTGGCCAGCTCTTTGTTCTATTTCTGGTGTGTCCGGGGATGCATCCGGTTCTGCCGTGAGGTGCCGGCCTGCCCTACAGCCTGCAGGGATGCCATCTGGGGCAAGGACCGCTTGCTGAGTCCCCTGATTCCACGAAGAGTCGAAGAGCACAGGGTCCCTGGTCTGGAGGAGAACTGGCGCCGGCCTCCTTTTCCTTGGAGGGTGCGAGAGCCGGAGAGGTCGGAGAGGTGGGGCCCTCGGCGGGAGTTCGCGGTTGCAGATTTCGTGGATTGTGTAGAGTCGAGGTTTAGGCCGCAGTCTCTGTGTGCCAAGGAGTGCCGTCCCGGATTCCACCGCAAGGGATCCGAGTGCTTGCCATTTATTTGCAATGCTGGCAAAGGCTGCAAAGTGTGCATCCAGCAAAGCCTTCGAACTCGAGACGACCAGTGCTCTGAGTGTGAGCCTGGACACAAGAAGACGCTGGATGATGTGTGCGAGCCATATTCGTGCCTTACAGGCGGAGAGCTGTTGAGCCTGAGCTTCTCTAAGTGGATTCGGCCCCTTTCTCTGGCGCAGGCGAGGCAGCTGCCTGCAAAGTTTGCCGGCCACAGGAGGAGCGCACTGCCGATGGAGACTCGGCGAGATGGGGCCTGGCGCACCGGGCGCTGAATGCTGCAAGCTCTCTTGTACTGGTAAGCCGGCATGCCCATGTAAGGACAGTGCAGTGAGTGCAATGATGGTTACGAGATGAATGAAGCTCACTCTTGCGGGTCATTCACATGCAGCACCGGACCGGATGAGGCATGCAAGGTGCGGTGCGAAGTGTGACAACTGGGGGAGAGCGGGCTTCGTGATGCCGTGTTGAGCCGTGGGGTCTTGGCAGGTTTGTCGAGGTGAGGTTGCAGACAAGGGCCACCAACCATTGGTGGCAAAAGCCTCTACCGGCATGACGCCTGGCTGAATCCCTAGACAAGTACGACACAATATTTATCCGAGATGGATGTACTCCTCGAGCCCTCAGGTCATGCCCTGATTCACGGAAGCTCGTCATCTACACCAGCAACAAACTAATCTCTCCTGCAAACTGTGCCAACGCTGTGTGCAACGACAATCGATGCGGGCAGGACAGGCATGACAGCTTGCAGTTAGCAGGGCTTGAAGTGTGTGGCTGTCCAGGGGCAGTTTGAGATTCTCGACACCGGCTCAAGCTTCTGGAAGCTCGGCACTGCACGGGCGCCTATGCATCTGCATCAGTGTGAGATCAAACGGAAGCTCGCATTTGAGGGAATGCTCCTGCATCAAGTCTGGCGAGAAGTGCGAAGATGGTCATCGGAAGCCCTCTGCGGGAACAGCATCCTACAGTCTCGAGGAATGCAAGGCGCCAGTCAACCAAGCTTTGACCGTGGCTTGGACTGGCTTCAGCTGATGGAATTGAATTGGAGTGATCTCCGTCGTTTGTTGCCCTTGCCCAGGCAAACAATCAATGTGCAGAATGCCACTGGTCCGCATTGGGAATGGAAGAGGATCACAGTCGCAAGTGACTTGTCGATAGATGCATGCTGGCTGCTAGCTCTTGAGGCAATCCTGGCTACCTGCTGGGAGACGACATGCTATGCAAGCCTTTCACCTGCCTCGAGGGCCCAGGGGCTCTTTGCAAGCTTTGCTCCGACCAGTCGAAGAGGACTGGTCAAAACCAGTGCTCTTTGTGCAATCCTGGCTACTCCCTGGCTGGGGATCTTACCTGCAAGCCGTACACCTGCGAGACCGGAGCTGCTGATGCCTGTTTCTGGGCTCGCAATTCATGAGCGAAGCTGTGGCAAATTACACTCTTTCAAGTTGGCGTGGCTTGAGGGAAGCCGAGCCCCAAGGCAAAACTTGCAGAGTCGAAGGGGACAGGACGGGGCACAGTCAGTGCGCTGAGTGCAACCCCGGCTACGGCCTGACATCTGAAGCCTCCTGCGAGATTTTCACCTGCACCGCAGGCGGGAGGTTCGGAAGGCTTGTGTAGCTCTGGAGCAGAGATGCGAGCAGCTGACCAGCTGGGAGGTACCGGTTCCTCATGCAGAACATGCGAGGATGTGGCCCTTAGAACAAGCAGGAACCAGTGTGCTGAATGCAACCGAGGACATCGGAATGTTTTGCATGGGTTTGGTCATGCCATGTCTGATTGCGGGGTAATGGTGTTTTGCAACGATCTGCTCTGCCACCTTCCGGCAGGATTCCTCCTGGCAGATGACTCTACATGCCAGCCAATTCTCTGCGAAACTGGGCCCGAGGCACTTTGCAAGAAATGCCAGAATCCGAAAGACAGCACGGCAGATGTGCCTCGCTGGCAAGCTGGCAAGGGTGTCTGTCTTCGTCATGGAAGTGGTCTCATCTGCAACAGCCAAGGACCAGTGCATCGAATGCAACGCCGGCTATCAGCTGACCGCGGACTTCAAATGTAGTCCCTTCACCTGCTCCACCGGGCCAAGCACAGGATGCAAACTTTGCAGAGGCTTCTGATGGGAATGCCATGTTTTTTTCACGGCATGCTATGCAGTGATGCTAGGGCATGTGTGTTGTGGCCATGCACATCCCTCCTTAGTGTCGAGCATGATCAGGCGAGTCGAAAAGGACAGCGAATGAGCAGTGCCAAGAGTGTCAGCCTGGGTATTCGCTGACGGTCGACCACTATTGCGAGCCCTTCGTTTGCGATGAGGGACCTGGTACACTTTGCAAACGATGCTTGGACATGGACATGCGGACCGCAGATGACCAGTGCGCGGAGTGCAACCCCGGCTATGCTCTGACAGAGGACTTAATGTGCTCAGTTTTGCAGTGTTCCACGGGGACTGGCGCTTCCTGTAAAGTTTGCAAAGACGTCGCCCAAGCTACTGGGCCAAACCAATGCAGCCAGTGCAATGATGGATTCGAACTTCTTGCCGATGGGACATGCCGACAGTACAGCTGTCGGACTGGATCCGGAAACATGTGCAAGGTGTGCAGGGACCCCAGGCATCGGAGAGCTCACAGTCAATGTGCAGCTTGCAATGAAGGATACGCACTCAATGAGGAGGGCTTGTGTGTCCTGTCTCCGTGCAGCTCCCACAAAGAATCCAGCTGCCAAACTTGTGGTTCTGGCGACGAATGCCAGAAGTGTCGTCCAGGGTATCAGCTGACACCATCCTTTGCTTGCCGTCTGTGGTTTTGCAGGACCGGAGGCAGGGCCATGCTCGCACATCTCGAACCTGCAGCATTGCGTTCGGACTGTTAAGTCCTTGTCCTTGGTCGTTTCTTGTCGCAGGTGGATCTTTGTGCAAAAGTTGCAGAGCACCATTGCTAAGAACCGCTCCAGATCAGTGTGAGTCCTGCAATCCCGGCTTCGCTTTGTCGGGTGCGAAATGCCAACCCTTCAGCTGCCAAGCTGCGTCGGGGCCGGGATGTGACCCTGGCATGTGTTTCCTTTGATGGGGTCCATAAGGGCTACTATAAGGGATTAAAAAGGGTACTATAATATAGAGGCCTAAATAATTACCTATACAGTACTTGACTACTTGCGCTTTCAACTCAGTACCAATCCCACCTTCTTCTGACAGGCAAGAAGTGCAGGTCTCAAAGCGAACGCACCGCAGAAAATCAATGCGACGAGTGCAATGCGGGCTACGTGCTCAACCAGGAAGTGTTTTTGACAAAGGTTTAGTGATCCGTCCTCACATGCATGTCGCATGCGAGGTCTGCTCTGGCTAGGGACATGACTCTCAGGCCAGTGTGAGAAGTGCTGCCAGGATGACTTCACCTGCTCCAAGTACTTGTGCAGCACTGGTCAGGGACCGGCTTCTTGTCTTGAAGCGCGCTTCCGTGCTAGTCGTACGCGCTTGCTTTGTAAAGCGCCGGTCGAGAGTCTTTGCAGCCTAGGCATGTAAAACCTGCAAGCCCTCTGCTGACTTGACTGCTGACGACCAGTGTGAAGCTTGCAACCCTGGCTATGGCTTGACTGCGGACTTTCAATGCCAGCCCCTGTTGTGCGCCGAGGGGGAGGGGTCGAAGTGCGCAATTTGCCGGGAGAGACTGGACAGAACGAAACCTGGACAATGCCTGGCGTGCAACCCCGGACATACCCTGTCGGCGGACTTCAAGTGTGTGGCAATCGAATGCCGAGTGGGTGACAGCAGCACAGACTGCAAAGTCTGTGCAGCAGTGGCTGACAGGACGACCAAGAATCATTGCAGTGAGTGCAACGCGGGATCTGGCCTTGTTGGAACTCGGTGCGAGCCTCTGACGTGTAAGACGGGGCCAGGAGCTGCTTGCAAGATGTGCCTGGGAAAAGGAGAGAGGACCGACTTTGACCAATGCAAGTCTTGCAACCCGGGTTACGCTCTGAGCAGCGAGAAGAAATGCGAGCCTTTCCAGTGTGCAGTGGGTGAAGGTAGTGGATGCAAGACATGCAGGCCGCAAGAGGCCAGGACTGATCACGACGAGTGTGAATCCTGCAATGCGGGCTTCTTCCTCTCGAACTCCAATGGGGCCTGGACATGCGAGGCTTACAGCTGTACCACAGGTGAGGGCAAAGAGTGCAAGGTGTGCCAAGAGAAGGGTGACCGGACGGATCACGGCCAGTGTGCAGCATGCAACGATGGCCGGATGCCAAGTCAGTGACTTTTAGTACACTAGTCTCAAGACATGCATACTCGGCGTAGGCCACGGGTACCAAGGCTACGAGCTCTTGTCCAACGGGAAGTGCCAGCCTTTTACTTGCAAGACCGGAATGGGAATGGGCTGTAAGGCGAGGTTACCGAGGGTAAAGCGCACACTCGTCGTATCGGCAAGTGCCTCATGCACTCCTTTCTTTTTTGCGGGGCCAGGCCTGCCGACCATCACTGAAGCTCACCGCCGCGGATCAATGCGCGCAGTGCAATGAAGGCCGGAACCAAGCAAGGTCAAGTGCTGTTCTGGCATTTTCAGTTGCAGTTATTAGCTGTTGATCCCTTGAGGTTACTTCTTGGGTGGGGACTCCAAGTGCCATCGATGGAACTGCGAGGTAGGTGACGGCAGCGCCTGCAAAGCTTGCTTCGTGCAAGGGCTGCGCACGGGGCACAACCAGTGTGCGCTTTGCAATCCTGGATACTTCAGAAACCTGTCGGACTTGAGCTGCCAGCCCTTTGCTTGCAACGTGGGGAACGGCACGGCTTGCAGCAGTTGTTTGCAGCCCGCGGAGCGCACCACGCGCGACCAATGCTCAGCATGCAACCCCGGCCATGAGCTAACAGACCAGGCAACTTGCCGGCCCTATTCCTGCAAAACTGGCGATGGATCTGCATGTGTCAGCTGCAAAGAGCAGGCCGAGAGGACGGGAGATGGCGACTGCGCAGAATGCAACCCTGGCTACTTCATAGCTCCAGGATCTGGTTGCCAAGCCTACGAGTGCAACGCAACAACAGCTGGCTGCAAAAGTTGTCGAGATCAGAGCGAAAGAAGTGCTCAGAATCAATGCGCAGAGTGCAAATCCGGTCTTGAGCTGACTGATGACTTCATGTGCAAGTCGAGCGATTGCACAGAGGGCTCCGGCCCTTCCTGCAAGAAGTGTGGTGATGGTGGCGAGTGCAGTGACTGCAATGTCGGCTACTTCCTGACGGAGGAGAAGCTATGTCAGCCGTATCTGTGCAGCCTCGGCCCACCACCCCTTTGCAAGACCTGCCGGGATACAGAGAAGACGACGGCAGATAATCAGTGTGAAGAGTGTGCTGCAGGACATCACCTCAGCGAATCCCTTGCGTGTGTTCCCTACTCATGCACCACAGGGCTGAACTCCACATGCAAAACCTGCAAAGCGGTTGAGAAGCGCGTAAAGGATGACGAGTGTGCCTCTTGCAAGGCAGGATACCAGCTTACAGAAGCCGGAGATTGCAGGGCATTTACTTGCTCGACTGGCAATGGGTCTACGTGCAAGACGTGCCAAGATCAGAGCAAGCGTACTGGCAACTTCCAATGCGCTTCCTGCAATAGTGGCTACACATTGCAAGAAGATCTGACATGCAAGCGCAGTATCTGCGAGGTTGGAGATCTGCAAGCATGTAAAACATGTGATGCGGATAGCCGGTGCGCCACATGCAATGATGGTTTCCAGCTTACAGCCAGTCGCACCTGCGAAGCCATCCCATGTGATGTTGGAGAGGGTTCCGCATGTGCTGCTTGCATGGAGCAGGAGGAGCGGACGAAAGTGAACCATTGTGCCAGCTGCAATCCCGGACACCAGCTGTCAGGTGGCACTTGCCAGGAGTACAAGTGCATCAAGGGGTTCGGCGATGCCTGCCGCAGCTGTGTCCCTCTGGCAGAGAGAACTGCCGACTTCCAGTGCAGCTCATGCAATCCAGGATACGTGTTGGAGGATGGAAAATGCGTTGGGATTGCATGCTCGATTGGCAAAGGTTCCGGGTGCAAGGCCTGCAGAGACCAGAGCGCAAGGACTGCCGATGGCCAGTGTGGTGAGTGCAATCCGGGCTTCGGGCTGACGGAATCTTTCAAGTGCCAGCCGTACACTTGCAGCACTGGCCCGGGAATGGGTTGCAAGACGTGTCGTGCTCCACACACTCGAAGCGCAAACGACCAATGCCTCGACTGCAACCCGGGGCATTTCCTCACGGACGACTTCACCTGCGCCGCCTTCAACTGTGACGAAGGAGGTGGTGCCGCCTGCAAGACCTGCAGGGCCCTGGAAGATCGCAGCAAAAACGGCCAATGTGCCTCTTGCAATCCTGGCTTCAGATGCGAGCTCAGTTGTTCCATCTGCAGCAGCACGGGCGGTTCCGGCACCAAGACACGGCGGAACTGAGGCCTGCGCGATGACGGCACGTGCAGGCTCTTCACCTGCCGAGCAGGACCGGGGGAACTGTGTAAGGTCTGCAGGGCAGTGGAGTCCCGATCCGCCAACGACCAGTGCGACACTTGCAACTCGGGCCTCCTGGCTTGGGGAAGTTTGCGGCTGGGCTTGTGGGCTTGATTTTTGGTGATTCTTTGCCCAGGCTATTTCTTGGATGACGACTCGCGCTGCCGACCTTTCACCTGCAAGGAGGATTCGGGGAGCTGTCGACGATGCCTGCCCCAGAAACTCGTCTGGCACAGCAAGACGGCATTATCAGATGCTTCTAGATTCTAGGATCTTGTAGGACGCGGCTCAAGCTGTCTGATGAGTGTCGGCGGCTGAGGAGTCGTCGTGTGGCCCACGGCCAGTGCAAGCGATGCAACCCCGGCTTCGAGCTGACGCAGCATAAAAGTTGTCGGCCCTACTCCTGCCAACTGGGAGAAGCCACAAACTGTGCGGAGTGCTTGGAACAGCCCTTGCGGAGCGGCGGCTTGGATTGATAAGAGGCTTCCCGGTGTTGTCCATTCAGCCTGCAAGCCTCTGCAAGCCCCTGCAAGCCTCTGCAAGCCTCTGCAAGCCTGCCAGATTGCATGTGGGACCAAGGCGCCGACCAATGTAAGAAATGTCTGCCTGGGTACAGGCCGCCGGCATGGTCATGTTGTATAAAACTGTTCCATTGGATAGTCATCAGCCGCCAGAGAGCCAGCGGTAGCCGAAAGCATTTCACCAGGCTTACCCACGACCTGGCTTGCGTTGCCTACACGTGCAGCACCGGCGAGGGCACGGCTTGCAAGACCTGCGCTCCACTCACGGAAAGGACTGTTCTGTGTTTCGTATCGCCGCTGCTTCTCCTGACCGTGAGCTGGCATTGTCTTCAGGACCCTTGACAACCAATGCACTTCTTGCAATGCTGGCTACGGGCTGGTGGGTGGCGACTGCAGATCGCTGACCTGTTCGATTGGCAGTGGCTCGAGGTGCAAAACTTGCAGACCTGCAGAGATGCGGACAGCACATGCGCTATCCTCAGTTCTCACACCTGTGTGTGCATGTGTTCACGCTGGAGCAGGGGTCTCGCAGACCTCCGACAGGATCAGTGTGCCGAGTGCAATCCCGGCTATGGCCTCGACGAGTCCGGCCGCTGCTCCGCCTACGAGTGCAAGACAGGTGATGCCGACCAATGCAAGACGTGCAAGGCATTTGAGCTACGCACTGGCCACAACCAGTGTGCCGAATGCAGCTCGTATACTGCATGGTCTGGCCTGCAGAGCTGTCTTGCTTCAAGTTTGGGTTTTAAGCTTTTCTGGGAGTGATCTAGCCAGTATAGCAGCTAAGGTAACGAGGGCTATGGTCTCACTCCCAGCTCTCGGTGTGCAGCAGAGCAGATGAAGTGGCTTCCACGCTTCAGTGTGGCTTGCATGCATTATCACTAGAACCCACATGGCAGGCGAAGCAAAAGAGGTCAGCAAGCAGTGCATTCACGTGGGTTCCGCAAGAAAACATAACCGTCCCCAAGGCAGTCATGTACACCAAAGAAGTGGTGAAGAAGGTTTTCCGGGAGCTTGACTTGAATGGTGATGGCAAAATCACTGCGGATGAGTTCAGCAAGAAGGAGGTAGATGCAGCAGTTGAAGCAGATGCTTGCCCGCAGCAAAACAAGAGGTTCAGTGATTCCTTGCTTCAGTCGTAAGTGGTTCGGGAATTCTGCAGGCACTTGGCAAGCTCGCGATGGACAGGTTCTTCGAGTTTCAACACGACCGCAGCCCGGGGGACACCGACCTGGCTGCCATTGACAAGGTCTTCGAAAGGCAGGGTGTATGAAAGCTCCTGCATGCTGTCGTAATCAGAGTTGCAGCTGCTGGCAAAGTTCGGGATGCCCAAGGTTGGATGCAGATCAAGACGAGCTCTTGTCATTGCCAGAGTTCAATGCCGGCGCTAGAAATCGGGAGGTTAAGGCAAGCGACTTGTTCCAGTCAATTGATTCGGACGGCAATGGCTACTTGGATGCAAAGGGTCACCGAGAGCGCTTGTGATGCCGGACGGGTCAAATCGGCAGATCTGACACAGGCCGCGTATCTCGGAGCGAGTTCTTGAAAGCGGCACAGGGGCCAGACGAGCTGCGGACTTTGAACCAAGCCTTCCGAAGAGCTGACTCTGACCAGGATATACGTTTAGTGGTGGGCCGGTGCGAGGTTTTTGTGTGCGCTGTGCTTCAGGACGACTTTGTGTCCCAGTCCGAGTTTCTGCAGGATGCACGTGGCCTGGTTCGATTTGCTTTGCTCGATGGACACTTTAGGCATGAGACAGCAGTGGTAGCCAGAAGCTGCAGGTACGCACTATCCTGGCACCTCTGCAGACGACTGGCTGACGAAATTCGGAAAACTGGACCGTGACGCAGACGGGAAGCTTTCCAGAATAGAGTTTCAAGCTTCGGAGGGTGATGTGCAACTCCCAAAGCCGCGGACCTCCCTATTTCAATTCAGCGAACAGCAATGATGATGCTCTGGCGGAAGTGCTGCAAGGCGGCAAGGCGCGATGGGCCAGGGGTCTATAAGGGTTACTATACGGGATCTATTAGGGATCTTTCAGAATACTATAATATAGGGGCCTTAATGGTGTTCTTAAGAGGTCCAGCAGCAGAGTGCTCAGGTGCTTGGCCCTGAACTGGCCGATGTCGCACTGACAGCCTTCGCATAAGCAACCTTCTGCGTAGGGTCGCAGCCGTGGCTTCGCCAAAACTTGCCGAAGGTAGTCTGGTAGAGGCCTCGGAGACTTAGGCGGGTGTGCAAAAAGCTCGCGCTCAGCCGAGCAAAAGACAAAATGTATTTAGTTGTGTCGAGGGTGGTGTTCCTTCACACATTGGCTGCTTATCCATTTCTGTTGCCCTATGACGTACGACGCGGGTACTACTGTTTTGTACGGGTTTCTCTTGCTTGCCTCTTTCCCTTTCGGTGCATTCCGGGCCAGAGTACTTCTCATATGACTGCTACGATGCTGCGAAGCCTGTACCTCGGAGCATGATGCTGACCGCAGCCACGGGCTGGAGCGGCTGCGCTGCAGTTTCGTGGCCCTGGCTGTCTCAGTGTCCTGCCATGCATCCAAGCATGCATGTGTTCGGCCGAGATGCGTTCAACATGTAGCAAGAGCTAAGGATCTAGGAGTCTGAGACGTGATGCCAGGAAGAATCCAAGCTGCAAGGCTCACAAGAGACATACCCGTGAATCAAGAATATGTGATCTCCAAGGAGTTCCGCACAATGTAGAGCGCGATGCTGAACATGCGGAAGTGGGGAAAGTTGGACTCAGTGAGTCGAGCCCTTTGCTCGAAAAGCCGAAAGAATTGCTCTTCAGCTGCATTGGTGCACCAGCAATGAGGGGGAGGTGATATCCCCATTCTTTCGCCGAGGTCACTCTTGAGAAGTCCCGTGCAATGGTACCGCACATTGTCGCAGAGCTACTCGTGGAAGCTGCTGGCCATGGTGGCGTGCACGAGCCACCTGTTGAAGGTGCATTCACGTACAGCGCAGTGTGAGCTGGCAGTAGCGAACATGCCGTGCCTTCCGCGAGGGCTTCGTAGCAGGCGGCGGCGACGAAGGATGCGGTTCCTCCTTGCTTGGGCGCAGCCGCCTGGCCGCCTAGCCTCGTGTCCCATGCGCAGGACTGATCGGGAAGCCGGCAGAGTTCCTGTTCAGCGAGCTGGGCATGTCAGCCGGAAGGCTTCAGGCCTTGAAGGCGTCGCTGCTTAGATGCAGACTGTTGGAGCAGCTCCACCCGGGCCATCCCTCCTCGAGCAGAGAGATGGAAATCGATTCTGGGGAACTGACGAGAACCTGTTGCCAACATGTAGAACGTCCAAACACAGTTTGGGGTCATGTACCTGCTCTTGCACTCCACGAAATCCTTTGCTGAACCTGCGGTCGTGTCAGTTTCACGTGCGCTTGCATGTGTGCTCTATCGTTGCCATCAGAACTTGTTTCAGAAGCAATGCTGTCTCCAAAACAGGTCGCAGAAGTGTAAGCAAAGGGCTGGGCATTTTCAGAGGATTCGAACCACCTCTGCTCTGCCAGGCAGTTGCAATCGTGCCATTCGCGCTGAAGCCGGTCATCGCCTTGCTCAGCGATGCTTTCCCGATATGTGGCTACCACAAGCTTCCGTATGTGGTCGAGTGCTCGGACACGTCGGCGACACTTGTGCGTTTCGGTGAACCCTTCGTGTGCTCAAAGGCTGAGCTGCTCTGCTTGAGGTCGTTTTCACGATCATATCATTCGCTTCGCTTGCATCTCTGGGCTTCGGCTTTGCGGTGACGGAAGCCGCGGTGGTCTCCGCTTTGTTCCTTGCCTTCCTCCAGGCGCGGCGAGGCTGAGCAGAGAGCAGAGGTCCCTAGGCCCTGAGCTCGCGTTGGAGGTTGCCGGTGTAGATGTGCTCATGGCGGCCAAGCAATCTGAAGAAGTAAAGAAGCAGGCAGCTCGGCCTCGAGGCTTATTCTTTACTAGCACTTTTAGCACCCATGACCCGGCCTATTGCGTCAACCCCCCTCTGTGTTTCCGTGGGAGAGTAACTTTGATCTTCGTGAGGCAAGCTTGGGTCCTGACTTCTACACCTACACCTGGCTGGGTATCAACGCAGGAAGCGGAGCTCTGTTGTAGTGCTTCCTCGGCCCTGACGGAAGAGAGATCTTGCACACCGTCAGGACAGGTCCTCAGTGTTTGCTTCCTTGGGCCTGTAATTGCTGTGATGGGTGCTCGAGCGCCTTATCGCTTTGCCGCACCTTTAGCTCCTTGACAGCATCTCAGCACTGGAGGCGCTGAACCTAGGCTATATGGGCTGAGAAGGGCACGTGGTTCCAACCATGGACGCAGCTGATCATGTCAGGTTCTCGTGGTGTTGTGGCCGGCGCTGGGGAACTTCATGGGCGAGAAAAAGGAGCTCACCGGGGGCGGGCTTCCTTGGGTCTTCCGGCTCCTCGGCGTGTCTGAAGGGATCAGTCTCAGCGAGCAAGGGAGGGTTTGTGGCGGATGTTATAGGGGCTTCATTTGACAAAGGCAGCATGGTGTGCTTTGCGCCCTTACATTGATGATCGGCGTGCTGGCTTTCGGCTTGGTTGTCCCTCGGACGCAGCGGTTGGATGATAGCTCGGTCCTGTTAGTGCTACGAATCCGGCAAAGAACTATGCATGATGTTTTCGAGATTGCCATTGGAAATCTGGCACACGAAAATCAAACGCGACCGTGTCCAAAAATGGAATCAACATTGGAGTTCGCTCTCGCGGCGGGGGTTGAAAACAGAGGCATAAACAAGCAACGTGCAGGAAACTGATCGTCTTGCTTTTTGGAATCAGGTTTCCGTTTTGGAATCAAGGTTTCGTTTTTTTCTAATGTTTTTCCCGTTGGGTTCGGTGTCTGATTTCTCCCCAGGTCCAGTAGACCTGAAGTCCAGAAACTTGCAAAGCACCGAAGCATCTCAGAACACAGGGACAAACATGAGCCAAACTTGGATAATAATGGGGAACCAGTGGAAAGCACAGGAATAAGTGGACAAAAATGATGGAAACGACATGACCGAAACAGCGGAGCATTAATGGGCCACAAGATGAGAAACACATTTCATTAATAATTAAAAAGAAAAGGAACGCCGAATATAGAATATAGAACCACCGAGACAAACGGGGGGCGCGGTTTCGTAATTTTGTTCCATGTTGTCATGGTTTGCTTTCGTTCGTTTGTTCATTTCCTGTTGCATCAAATTTTCAACATTTCGGTCGAGTTGTGGATCTGGATTTGCTTGTTTGATTGCTTTCGCTAATGTTTTCAATTCTGGTTCTCATGGAGTTGTCAAGTGAGGCGTGATCTTAAGGCTACAGCACACCGCCGTTATCATTCCAGTGACGCGCTAGCATGCTGCTTGCTGGGAGGTCTCCACTTTCCTGTTGGATGAGCATCGTCTGGCTCCGATCGCCGCTTGCATGGCGGCCGTCGTGCTCGGCTCCTTCGCATTGTTCATCAGGCAGGCAACCCAAGCATACCAAAAATCTGCTGAGATGACGACCTATCCATCCCTGACAGGCGGGAGATTGCAGGACCAGTGATTTTCTTCTTCCTGCTGGGCCTGCTCAGTATCAACATCGATGGGGCACTGTTCTACTTCTGACGCTAGGCTGCAGCATTCAAACCCGTGTGTCATGATGTAGATGCTGGTGTGCTGCGTGTCCGTCTCAGGTACTGACAGTGCTGCGGAGTTTTCCGACGGACCGCACTTCACCCCGCATTTCTACATCACAGGCCCCGTGGTGCTGGGCCACTTGTTGGGCATGGTGCTCGACTGATGGCAGGCATTGGTGCGGCATCATTCTTGGGAATCACTGTGGGCTTCGCCACTGGACCAGAGATTTTTCGATCGTGGAGCTACAGGCCTGGTTGATGTAAAACATGACGTGCGCGGACAGCTCTGCAATGGCTCGCATGCTGGCGATGCCCAGTAGTCAGGAGCATTTGCATGGTTACCCTCGTCTTGCGTGCCCGGAGCTTGGTGAAGAAGAGCGCGGCATTTTATTAGCACTGCTCTCATCGAAGGGTCTTGGATCCCAGAGCCTTCCCGGATCAAACTCACCGCAGGGCCACGGCGCTGCCCAAAGCCGCATTTTGTGAAACTAGTGAGGATGCATTTAGAGCATACATAGTCCTGTATCTGCTCAAATACTCACTCGCTCGTGATGCGCGGCTTCGCATCGATACTGCATCATCTTTCGGAATCTGTCCGCCCTCGCAACTTATGGGGCCATACTTGTCAGCTGCTTGATTCCGAGCTGGATGCCTGATGCCGAGTTCTCAAACGAGTAGGAAAAGGAGTTGTTTAAAAAAGGAGAATGAGAACGGACCCAGGGCGAGCACCTGTGTGCAGCCGCGGGGGGGCGGGCTTGGGGCCTCAAGTCCTGGACCCCATACATCTCGCAATCCAGCCAGAGAGACCCGTAAGAGAGAAACAGAAAGAGAGAGATAGGCGGGTCATGGTCCGAGCACGGCCAACCCGCATCAAGGCGTTTCATTTGCTTGCACACTGCACTGCCATTTGGCTGTGTGCAAGCAAGCGAAGGGGCGTACTACTTCCTTTCGGAACACCGATGCCGAGTGCAGTTACCTGATCGAGGAAGAGCGCACAGCGAAAGAGTCCGCCGGCACAAAACAGGTGAGGCGCAGAAAGCACGCAACCCGGCCAGGGGGGGTCGCTCATGATCGCTCATGAACAATGTGCGAAGGTTCGTGAAGGAGACTCGCTGAGAACCGCGGTGTACAGGCAGTGGAACGCCATCCCAGTCGCATGTTTTGTCGGTGTTGCACCGACAGGACCACGAGCGGGGGGTTTTGGTGTGTGTACGTGTACACGCGTGTGTACGTGTGTGTGTGTGTGTGTGTGTGTGTGTGCGTGTGTGCGTGCGTGCGTGCGTGCGTGCGTGCGTGCGTGCGTGCGTGCGTGCGTGCGTGCGTGCGTGCGTGCGTGTGTGTGTGTGTGTGTGTGTGTGTGTGTGTGTGTGTGTGTGTTCGCCCCATCAAGGCTCTTTACCTCGCCTCATGGCATAACTGAGCCCAGTTCCTTTGAAGCTAACGTTCGATGCAACGAACATGGGGGAGTCAAAGCCCGAACTACGTCACATGGCGAGGGAGGCCCAGGTCATTCTGAGACTTCCTGAGACTTCCTCCCATAATCCGAAGCAGTAACCAAGCGACCCCACAGAAGGGCCGCTTGCTTGTTTTGGCCTCTAATCTTGGGGGTGTTCTCTACCATCATTTGTAGGCCTCTACTATGACAGAATCCCTGGCGACTCCGTGCCGGCAACGGGCTTACAACAGAAACTGTAACGGAACGTAGTGGAGCTGTAACGGATTTGTCGCGGAGCTGTAACGGACCTGCAACGGAGCTGTAACGGAAGCTGTAACGGAGCTGTAGCGGAGCTGTAGCAGAAGCTGTAACGGAGCTGTAGCGGACCTGCTACGGAGCTGTAACGGAAGCTGTAACGGAGCTGTAACGGAGCTGTAGCAGAAGCTGTAACGGAGCTGTAACGGACCTGCAACGGAGCTGTAACGGACCTGCAACGGAGCTGTAACGGAAGCTGTAACGGAGCTGTAACGGAGCTGTAACGGGAGCTGTAACGGAGCTGTAACGGACCTGCAACGGAGCTGTAACGGACCTGCAACGGAGCTGTAACGGAAGCTGTAACGGAGCTGTAACGGAGCTGTAACGGACCTGCAACGGAGCTGTAACGGACCTGCAACGGAGCTGTAACGGAAGCTGTAACGGAGCTGTAACGGAGCTGTAACGGAAGCTGTAGCGGGGCTGTAACGGACCTGCAACGGAGCTGTAACGGACCTGCAGCGGAGCTGTAACGGAAGCTGTAACGGACTGTAACGGAGCTGTAGCAGAATGCTGTAACGGAGCTGTAACGGACCTGCAACGGAGCCGTAACGGATTTGTCGCGGAGCTGTAGCGGACCTGCAACGGAGCTGTAACGGAAGCTGTATCGGAGCTGTAGCGGAGCTGTAGCAGAAGCTGTAACGGAGCTGTAGCGGACCTGCAACGGAGCTGTAACGGAAGCTGTAACGGAGCTGTAACGGAGCTGTGGCAGAAGCTGTAACGGAGCTGTAACGGACCTGCAACGGAGCTGTAACGGACCTGCAACGGAGCTGTAACGGAAGCTGTAACGGAGCTGTAACGGAGCTGTAGCAGAAGCTGTAGCGGGGCTGTAACGGACCTGCAACGGAGCTGTAACGGACCTGCAACGGAGCTGTAACGGAAGCTGTAACGGAGCTGTAACGGAGCTGTAACGGACCTGCAACAGAGCTGTAACGGACCTGCAACGGAGCTGTAACGGAAGCTGTAACGGAGCTGTAACGGAGCGGAAACTGAGGGCCCAGGGTGGGTAGCGCAAATCCCATAGTAAATGATGGTAGAGAACACCCCCAACTCTAATCACCTGAGTCCTTTTGGGGGGGAGCCGTCGTTCATGATCACGTTGTTTGGCCTTGCTGCCGCACTTTGAAGCCTCCAACCTTTTCATTGCAGCATGTTGGCAATGTTCGCACGTGCATGGCAGACCAAGAACGCGGCTGCGCCGCGCGTGCGAGGAGGTCATCCTCGTGCGCGTGCCTGTGTGTGTGTGTGTGTGTGTGTGTTGTGCGTGTCTGTGTGTCGTGTGTTTGCATGTGTGCGTGTGTGTATATGCATGTGCATCTGCGTGAGGGTGCGTGTGTTTTTGTCTGTTTGAGTTTGTGCATGGGGAACGTTCTGGTGTAAAGTTAGACCAATCTTCGCTCGGACAGCCACCAGCCACCAGAACGCAACCAGTGCTTTCTCGAAGCTCAGAGATTTCTGTTCCCAGGCATGCACTCAGCTGGCCATGTTGCCAGTGCTTTGCCGTTGGACGCTAGCCTTTGGAATTCCAGATAGTCTTTGGCTGCTGGTGGTTATGGGCCTCGACAGCTGCTTGGACGAATAAACGGAGGGTGTGGGATGCATGGGTGCTCTTCCTTGAGAGGCTCCGGGGGCGCTGCATCTGTAGCTTTTGCATAAGCTGTCAACGACCCTGTGCAAAGATGTGTCCACCCTGACGCAGCACGTGTTTAGTCTAGTCTAGTATTTGGAGGCAAAGCCCACTTGTCACGCGCATCGTTCCATCTTGTATGGTCTCCTAAAATTTTGGTGCATGGGGCTGGCCTGCTTCGGGTGCGAATGCTTGACAGGCATGGTGCAAGCATGGCGCTGGATCCCCAAACAGGCGTGCGGCAGAGCGCATTGACGCACGCAACCGCTGCACATGTGAAATCACAGGTGCTGGCAGCTCATTTGGCCCCAAGAGGTGTCGAAGCGACAACCTTGGGCTTACATGCGGGGACCTTCAACATGGCCTCCATCTTGAGCCACCTGTCTGCCGCATCCCTCGTTGAGCTATGCACGCTTTGGTTGCGGCGCCTTTACAGCTGCGGACCTGTCTCAGGCTCCTACATCGGTGGCTACCTTCTGACATTCAGCGGGGTCTCGCCCACAGGACGAACAACTGCAGTCGCAAAGCTGACGTGAAGTTGAGGGATGCCGGTGCAGGATCATTGCAAGAGGGGCGTCAGTTCCAAAGCCTCTGGAAAGTGCAGTGTTCGGGCTGCAAACAGCTCTGCAGACACATCGGCCAGCCATCCATTCCCAGGTGTTCGTCACGCACCTGTCGAGATTCCCGCTGGCAGGTGTGTTGCCGCCTTCCTGCCGCTGCTGCTTCTGCTGCTTGTACCTGTCATGCTGCCTCAGCGGTCGCAGACAGAGGCGCTTCTGGAGGACGACACGTTATGAGTTATGAAATGTTGGTTGTGTAGGCTTGCTCAGCATCTATGCATGCCCCTGGCCGCAGGAGTGTGATGATTCGGCCACACATAATTCCTTATTTCAACGACTCTGTCAGCCAAACCGGCGATGAGAGTCGCGAAGGCCTCCTAAACGGAGCAGCCGATTTGCACGAAGTTGTACGGCTACAGCGATGAGCCGTCAACAAGCACCTCCACACTGCAGATGTGCCTGTGTTTGTTAACCCCACAGACGGCAGAGAAGACTCTCAGATCACGTGCATCACTTTCTGGAAGGCTGGTTGAGACCAGGGTCCAGGCCTTCAGACTTAGTCAGTCCGCTGAGCTTCTGGTGCCTCCTTTTCGATCTTCGTCTTCGCAGGTGCAAGACAAAGTTCGAGAGCTTGCCCGGTTCCTATGACTCTAGGACTGGAGGCTGAGCTCAGGTGCATCAATCTAGTCATATCTAGTCTAATTGGAGTGTGTGGACTCATCTCAAGCAAGGCCGACACACATGAGCAGCTGAACAAGAAGTTCATCGAACTCGCAAAGGAAAGAGAGGCCTTGATTGACATTCCCACAGCCGGAGGAGCTTCGATGCAGTCGGTGCATGCTACCCACACGATCTTGCCATGCTGTCCTACCTTCACCATCCTTTGCCTTGGCCAGCGCCGAAACGAGGGTGTTCTGCAGCCGTTTGGCCTGATCTTGCCAGCCTTTTGCAAGTTGGTCTCCCGTAGCTGGTCCTTGAAGTGTCACGAAGTCATGGTTCTGATGATCTATGCGAGCCCGACGGCGCGCAAGACTGTGCGGTGCACGGTGGATTTCGTTGAGTTCGCAAATGGTGACCTGGCTGGGACTTCTGGCCTTGTCGGACTGAGGCCCAGGCAGATGACCTCGACAATTCGACTACGTCTGCTACAGACTCCGATGGTACGTGGCTGAGCGAAGAACATTGCCCAGCACCAGCCGAGAGCGCAGCCGAAGGTGCGGCCTGTCCTCACAGCTTCTACGTCCGCAATACTTTCATTGAGTGCTGCGAGAGCGATGGTGAAGTGGCTCGGATTCTGACAGTTCCGTTCGGGTACACTCTGCGTCGAAGCGGACTCACCTCGGTGTCTGCTCTCAGGTGGGCTCGGCTCGGTGCCGTGCTTCCTCCGCACCGGCGGAACGGAGACGCCAAAACGGCGATGCCACTGACGCTAGTGGCGGCGATGCCTTGGAGGCTCAGCGGAAGCTCGAGGCAGCTCTCGCCTTTCTGCGTGTGTTTTTGACTGAGCGTAAAGAGCTGTGAGCATTTGTGAACCAGGCAGCCTTCCAGGAGGCAGAAGAGTTGAAGGATCTGATCAGGGAGGCCGATGCCGAACGAGACACGCTGCATGATCAGCTGAAGCAAATGAGGCATGGGTGCCTTGGCCGCAAAGAGTCAGTGACAGTCTCGCGGGCGATGCCTGCCGGTCGCCTTGTGCTTCGTGCATCTACCCTACCCAGTGCGAGGTCATACAGCTTCCACGTGCCTGAGGGTGTTGATGAGATGAGCGGCACAGTCGCAGAGTTGACGCAGAAACTGGATGCTGCTTCGGCCTTAGCTCAGTCTCCAGTGGAGCAGCTCGCACGAAAGAGCCGGATTTTTAGCGGTGCTTCAGGCCAGCATGGACTTGCAGTCAGCCCGCGACTACTACAACCATGTGAAGCTGCGCATCGGACTAAAGAAGGACGCCGCGGGTCGAACTTCTCATCATGTTGTGGTTCTGCGAAGCTTCTCATCTGCCGCAGACTTCTTGAATTCGCAGGAGTGTCTGCGCGAGGAGCGGCGGTCGTTTCGTGGATGCTAAGTGTGTGGTGTAGGCCGAGTCATCGGAGCGTAGTTTGGCATGCAGGAGATCAATGAAAAGGCAGAGGAGCGAGATCGCTTGAAGGCAGAATGCCTGGAAGTCAAGGACCAGGTCGAACACCTGCAGCACGAGTGCAACAGGCTGCATCAAGAAATCAAGGATATGCCGCATGTGCCGACAATGCCAACTGACGAAGGCTACAGGAAGCATAGGCAGCCACCCAAGCTGAAGCCAGATGAGGCTGCGTGCACAAGACGGGAAGCGCTGCGCTTTCAGGCGCCGGAAGCTAAGGCGAAAGCTGGAGGGAGCAGGAGGTGCAAGCGAGGCACCGGGAACCACCAGCACAGTAACAAGGCGAGCAGGGAAGATGATCTTGGAGTGGGAGCTAGTGAAGCTAGCTTGCAAGAGATCGTCTCTTGCCAGCGTCACGAGCAGAAGCAGAAGATGCATGGGCCTCAGCTCTGCGAGCAAACTGCGTCTGCGGACGACTTGCAGCACGACCCGGACCAGTTCGAGCAGCTCCACATTAGGGACTGGGACACCACCTCAGACGTCGCTTTCCCAGCTGCCAGTGAGGAAGACGACAGCAAGCCGCAAGAGCTTGAAAGGCCAAGTTGGTGCACAGTGGGCATTTTCGATTTCCCTCGGGGGCGCGCCGAGGGCGAACAGCCGGAGCCGGACAGCCCAAGTCAGCACGAAGCAGACACAGCACTCATCAATGTCTTCGATGCTGGCGAGCAAGACCAGAGCAGGTTAGGGCTGGACAAGGTAGGCAGGTCAGACATTTCTAGCTTGGATGATTGCGAGCAGGACAAGACGCAACAAGTGCCGGACATGCCAAGTCGGAATGTAGGGGATATGTCCGATGTCGGCACGCAGGCCTGTGAGCTCGGCATGAGGGGACCAGAGCTGGACAGGCCGCGTGAGGATGCGGCAGGCATGTCAGGCAGCAAGCAACAAGCGATGGATGACCCTGGCGAGGACATGACAGATATCTCAGGCACACATGGCTGTGCTGACGAATCAGCTCCTCCACTTCTGCCAACTGCAGAATCCATGGCGCGTCAGAGTGACCAAGAGATGTGGCAGGCGGCCGCAATTCATGCAGACGAAACCTCGGGTTGCAGAGCGCAAGTGATGGCCTCCCGGAAAGATATGGAGGCGAACGACCTGGATAAGAACCTGCTTGGCGAGGTGACATCTGAAGGTTTCAAAGCCGCTTCGGCAAGTGTGCACAAGCAAGCCGTCCTCGTGCCAGCAGAGACTGGGACAAAGATTGGGCGCAAGTCCAGCCGTAAAAGTTCTACTGTGGCAGTTGCTTCGCAGAGAAATGCGGGAGGCCAAGAAGGACGCGCGACCTCAAGCTCGTCTGGCCTGTGCAACACAGGACCGAAGAAGAGCCAAAGCAAAGCCAACAGACACGAGGGAGCCGATCGGAGCAGTGCTAAGCACCTTCCACACCAGGAGAAGAGCCGCAAGCAATGCCCACCTTCTAAGTCAAAGGCAAAAAGCAGAAGTCAAGCTGCTGACATTGAGGCAGTGCAAGCGGATGCTGTGTGGAATCCGATGACGAAGCTGTTCTTGGTGAGCATCCTCGCCGTGGCTTTGCTGATGGTTTTTGCGGCGGTGCGCCCTGCGCTGCTCTGATGCTTGGAGCTTGGATGCGGCCCGATGGGCGCATGAGGAATCCAACCGAGCGATCCCGTGAATCGTTACATCTGCGCCGCGCTCGTTTCGGTCCGAATGGGGGACGCATGCTGACGCATTTGTCGGTGTGGGAGCGCGCAGCATTTACTTCCTAGATTCGACTCCCAGATTCGATGTGATCAGGTCTGATCGTTGCAAAACTTGACACGAGTGATCTGATCTCAATGTTTTGACGTGGATGCCAACTAGAGCAGCAGCAGCACTTGTGGGATTTGCTGAATGCTAGCGTGCTGCGGCATTCATCCGGACACGTTATCGTCGTTCTCCAGGAGGCAGTGGTTGTCACATGATTCAAAACTGTAGCAGAATAATATCAGCAGCGTGCAGCCAGCCGCTGCTTGAATGGGCAGCATCCAGGGCCTCGGCCCGTAATACGCGTGTGATCGTTTATGCATTGACCCAGGTTGAAATGACGGTAACCCTGCACAAATTAATGAGGGCTCTCTCTTGTTTGTAAAAGGAGCCGTCGTCTCGGAAGTGCAAGAGGCAGTGGAAGCCCTAGATTCGCACATTGATCCTGGTTTGGTGTTTGCAAGTGTGGTCCCAGCTTCTTTTTCAAACCCAAGAGAGAGACCAGTGATTGCACTAGCGAGTCTGATTTGTTTTAGAACTGTATATAGGCGTGCCGGCATGTGCTTTCCGACGCTGTTGGGGCCGCTTCCTTAGGCGGAGTAGTGCCCTTCACCGGCACAGAGTGCGCAGCATTTAAGGCAAAGGGAAGTCAGGACGAGGGGCAACGATGGCAGTGCGGGACAAAAGCCGGCTTAGTGACATGGGCGCTCAAGAGACAAGATGCTTTTGGTATGAGGGTATGGCAAAGCATTGACGTATCACGTGGTGCTGCGTGGCCGGGCGGCAGGTCAGTGACATGCTTCGCCGGGAGAATGGCCAGATGAGTGAAGACACCTTGGGCAGACTTGAGTGTCATTGTCTTCGCTCCTGCGCCGAGCAGTGAAAGCATAGTGAGGATCGCAAAGCTCGCTCATACTGAGGTTTCTATGAAAGAGGCAGAGAGACAGTTTGTGTCTTCGGCCCGTTTCTGTGCTTGATTCGTACGTTTCTGCCTGCTCGTGCTCTTTCAGCCACTCAACTTGCACATGCGTGGTGTAGTTGCCCTGCGCGCCGCGCGGGAGCTCCTAACCTAACGAAGGGAACTCTCGCTCTGTAGCTCTAGCTTCTGCTGGATGAGCTCCGTAGCATACCCCGCTCGACATGTCGCCAGGTGGCAGCACAAGCCGAAGTCGCAAGCCTGAAAGCTGAAATGACTGCAGACAAAGTGCCGCCAGCTTTGGAAACTTGGGGTTTCGGAGGGAGAGCAGAAAACGCCGACGGGCAGGTACAACTCACCCGAGTGCAAGCACGCAACACTGAATTGGAGGAAGGGGATGAGGGAATGCTGGTAGCATTGATCACAGATATTTTGTGATGCGAGGCTGATTCAGACCAGCTGCGGGTGCGCAGTCAGGAGCTGGAGGAGGAGCTCGTCACAGACTCAGACGTTTGTATCTTGTTTCAGTTCTGTCCTGTCCTGTACTGTGACTACTGAGGCCCAGGTGTCCCAGGCATCCACGGAGGCAGCGCGAAGGCTACAA